TTCTGAGGCGGAAATCCGTAAGGAGATCCAAGCCTTGGGACGTCACAAAGTGCCGGGCTGCGATGGCCTTCCCCCAGCTCTATTTAAAGATGGTGAAATAAAGCTTGTTAGAGAACTCCACGTCCTGTTATCTAAAGTCTGGCACACTGGCCAGGCCCCCTCAGGGGGGGGGGGGGAATCGATTGTCGTCCCCGTCTTTGAAAAGGGTTTGCACAATGATTGCGCCAATCATAGTGGTATAAGCCTGATCCCAACAGCGTCAAAGCTGTTGGCGTCCGTCATTCTCCGCCGATTGTACACCAAGCGTGAAGAGCAAACTCGCGAGGAGCAGGCTGGGTGTCGCGCTGGTCGTAGATGCATCGTTCGAATTTTCACCCTCTAACAGCTGGCAAAGCACCGTCATGCTTATCAAAGACCAACGATAATTGTATTCTTAGACAGCCGCGCGGCCTTCGACTCTGTCGATAGGACCGCACTATGGAGGTGTTTTTTGATGAACGGAGTACCTAAGAAGTATGTATCGATCCTCAAAGAGTTGTATCGTCGTACCTCAGGTCGGGTTAACTCTCGCCACCCTTCGCCGTCTCCAGTGAAGTTCGACAAGGCTGCCTTATATCCCCTTTCCTTTTCAACTTCGCCATAGAGGATGTTCTGCAGGACGCTTTATCCGGCCTAGCAGACGGGGGAGTCGAAATCCTCCCAGGAAACAGAATTCTTGACTTAGAATATGCCGATGACATCGCCTTGTTGAGTGTCAATGCACAGGCAGTCCAACAAGCTTTACACCATTTGGTAATAGAGGAATCCAGGTTCTGCATCACCGGGGTTCGTGGCCTTTGCTCCGATGGCTCGGCCATGTTTTACATATGCCTGCCCGTGGTCTACCTCCGTGCTTTCTTTGCACGTCTTAGGTAAGGCTGGGAGAAGCGCCGCAGCCTTCAAACCATGGCATAGAGGTGTGAAGAAGTTAGCCTCAGCATCGACTTCGGTTGGTGCTGCTCGCCTTCCAGGTTGGACCCGAAGAGATGCAGATTGTCGATGGTTAGAGACGCTGGGAGATATGGCTCAGAATAAAAGTCAGTGGTACGATTACTGTGTGGTTTGTTTGTCGAACTCCCATTCCCTATAGCAAACAAAAAGAACTTCAAAAAGTGTGCGATGAAACTATCAAAGAATTCATTCATTCCTTTATTGGTTCTCTGTTTCCCGTACTGAGATTCGTACCATGAGTATTGTTGTTATATATATACATTGGTAGATAGATAGATAGATAGCAATTCGTTCGTCTCCGTGTCATTTTTTCATCTGTTATCCATCTGTTGCGCCCGTTAAATTCTAGATCGCGGATTACGTTCCACGGCAGACGCCCGTCTAGCCGCTCGAAATAAGGCCCGCGCTTCGCGTATCCCCATCATCATTATACCGGCTGCCCCGACTAGCCTCATCACCATGTACAATGCCAGAGATATTCTACAAGTAAGTGTTTCTTTTGTTACCTGCGTTTTTTGCTCTGTTCATTACTGGTATCTCAATTCTCGATATATATATGTATATATGTGTATATATATATGTATATATATATATATATTGGTGCCTGCTCCAAGTTTTTTGTTGAACACTAACAGACTATCACTCGAAGGTTTTTGTCCGTTGGAGCTAAACTGCTCTATCTCGTGAACTAAATTACTTTCATAAACAGTCATTCGGTAGTTCGTATCCGCCCCCCCCCCCCGTCGGACCAAACTTTGTGGTGGTGG